GGGTTCGAATCCCGTTGAAGCCCTGATTTTTTCAGGCTTCTTCTTTCCAATTGCTTAAATTGGAAAATTTACTACGGTGATCATTCTTCACTTTCATCTACAACCGCAGTTCTTATATGAATTATTTCATATATACTTCACAAATTTATTTTTGTTCGACATGAAAGAGGATACATGCATGAGAGACTTCTTCCTCCGATGAAACATTAAAAAATGTATCTTTATTTGTAAATCTAAAGTTTTGGTTATACCGTGTCAAACGGTATTATTATTATACAAGTTTACAACGTACTCAGTGAACTAAAAGGTGATTTATGAGCACTGAAAACAAGTGACTTTTCAAGGACTTTTCATCATCCTTACAGTAAATGCAAAGAGGTGTGAAAACTAGAAAACTACTAGTAGCAATAATATAACCACATGTGATGTTGTATTGATTTCATCGAGTAAATTACCTGTCCAGTACACGCATCAGTAAGCAGTTAGTGACTGGCATTATAAGATGCTATCTTTCTTTTCAGTTCAAATCAAATGCCACTCAGGTACCAATGTGCGTGTGGTGGGACTTCACTGCTGGGTGAGTACGAGTGAATCAGCAAACAAGCACATAAGCACAGCAACATGAAAATTCTTATGGAAATCAAAATGGATACTTCCTTATACATTTAAGCAAAGATGTTATCTCAAGATTAGCAAACAATCATATGACTGCCAATGTGGATATTATGCTATTTTTTGACATATCACAGGTTGAAAATTGAACGTTATTATATAGAATCTCTAAATTTCTCTCACACTCACTGCATTACTAAAAACAAATCAAAGTCTAATTATGGTTTACTTTAACAACATCTTTAGGGGCGTAAACAGCACTGGCCTATGGTCGACCAAAGGGTGTGACGTGGATACTGCTGCTTCAAATGAAACCCACTCAGTCTGCAAATGTGACCACCTCACTAACTTTGCAGTGCTGATGCAGATCAAATCGGACTCAGACCTGGAGGTAAATTATGTCCTCACAGTAGGGATAAGACAATGCAAGGGCAGAACGAGGGAAAAAGACGATAGGGCACGCCAGATTTAATAGATATTAGTAGTGCTTGTAGCTCCTGACTGAGAAAGATCCGCAATAGAAAAGGTGGACTTAGTTTTCCGTGCCTCGTGTGGCCCTCTGCAACCAAAATTCTCTATCCCAGGAATGTTTTACCAAAGAGAGAAAATGTAGCGTTACTTGCGAATTAGCATGACCGGACAAAATTTCCTGTGAGACGACGTTGTTCAACATCTTTACAGTTGTGTGTTACATGTACATGAAAATTTACTACTTAAAAGGCTTTCTGTCCATTTGTTGTTTTAGCTATGGATGATACATTAAGATACGCTTTTTCGCTTTTTAGGTTGATGAGTCCCATGCTGTAGCATTAGAGATCATCACTTACGTGGGCTGTGGATTGTCGTTGATTGGCGTTACCCTTACAGTCGTCATCATCATATGTTTGTCGTAAGTTCAGATACTGTTATCCAACTAATCTCAGAGATCCCTTCCAATCAATTGTGGGATCTGATTCAATCAAACTGAACTTAAATCTTAATAATGTCGCTTAAAAATATGGTGCGTTGGACCCCGGACTGATGTGTTCTTTCAGTGCCCATCCTGACCAAAAATCGGCTAGCATGCCACCCAGGCTTTGCCCACTTCACGCTGCCGGGTTTCATGATCACTAACCTTGTCTGACAACGTAAAATAAAATAATTTTGGGCTAGTTATCCATTCGTGTACGTTGTAGTGATTTCGTAGCTTCCTTATTTCGGGTGGTCATCATTTAAATTGTACACTTTTAACAATATAATATAATTTGGAACTTTTCATTTAAACTCCACAGCGGTGTGCGTTCAGAGAGGAACCTCATTCATGTAAACCTGTCGCTGTCTATCGGCATCTTTCAAATTATTTTCCTGGCAGGAATTGAAGCAACTAGTAATGAGGTTTGTTAACCGGAAAACAAAGAATACTTACAATAACTCTTTATCCACAAAAGTTTGTATTTTTCTTCTTTTTTTTTTTCAATTTGTTAACGTTGCGTTCTGCTCCTGTTGTGGTTGTCGTTGTCATTGTTGTCATTGTTATTGTTGTTGTTGTTGTTGTTCTTCTTCTTCTTCTTCTTCTTCGCCTTTCCGTGCTGTTTACTTCAATTTAATTAATTGACCGTAACTGATGCAGTTTTAGTTTGCAGAAATGATTTCGAAGTTGTATTCCATTTCTTTGCAGGTTGCCTGCACGTTGGTAGCGGTGTTACTTCACTATTTCTTGTTGGTTTCATTTGCATGGATGTTAATTGAAGGCGTCCATCTCTATGTTATGGTCGTCACTGTTTTTGAAAACAGCAAAGAACAACTTCGTATATACGGATTATGCGCATACGGTGAGACCATCTATTGAAATTGTCTTATAAATAAAAAAGGAGTTTCTCGTTGATCGGAACCTGGCCGAAAAACATGCATCGTCAGTTTTCTTAAACTAAACCGTAAAGTTAAGCGTATGTTCCAAATAAATAAAGTATTGTGTCAATGTATAAGTCTTAGACTGATGATCAAACATCACAAATTCCAACTGACCCACACCATTCTAGATTCATAGTTATCAGCGAGTTGTACAATGCCAGTCGAAACAGTATGAATTTATGTTTTAAATTTTCCTTAACAGGTTTGCCTGGAATTGTTGTTCTTATTGCTGCCAGTGTTGCCCATGATGGTTACGGTACAGACTCCCGGTATGAAGTCAAATTACTGTTTGAAGCCACATGGTTGGATATCACGTTGTTTTTAGACCAACTGGGGTTCATCAGTATTGACCAATATTTCAAACTTTTCCTAATAACGTTTTTTCTATTGAAAATTTAACTAGACTTCACCAACTACTAGCAGCATCCAATGTATACAGCCGGATTAGGCTGTCTTACTATTGATAACTACAAGGAAATCTGGCTCTCTTTCATTCTAAGTTGTAAAAGCTTGCTTTGCATGGTTTACAGCTATTTTGGATTCAGAAAAGGCACTTGTCAAATTGACGCCTTGGAAAATCAGTTTATAATAAGTACATTAAATTTAGGTTTATTTACGCATTTTACGTTTTCCCTTCAAGGGAAACATGAAACATACACACACGCAATTCAGTTATATACACAAGAGACACCAACTACTTTAGTCATCAGGCATCAAATTATACAAATGATAAACAAT